GAAGCTATGAAAATGCTGCTTTTCAAGCCACAGGTACAGATGGCTTGCCAAACCAGATATTTCTTTGCAAACTTTGACAGTTTCATGTGCTTGAAAACATCTGCTACCTTTCCCCTTCCTTTTGCCGTATAAAACTCCTGTCCCGGAAGCTGCTTGTAGTCGGCTTTGACGTAGGTTTCGTCGTCCATTACCACGCAGTCAAACTTCGTCAGCATCGTCGTGTACAGCCTCCGGGATCGCGCTTTGGCCGTCGTATTTTGTTTATCATCGCGATTTGGAGTCACTACCTTTTTGTAAGTCGATAGTCCGGCTCGTTTTTTGACTCGATGCACGGTTGTAGACGATACACCCAGCTTATTTGCGGCATCTCGGAGAGAGAGGTTAGGGTTTCGCTTGAAACTACCGGCAACTCTCTTTGTCGTCTCAGCGGCTTCCGGTTTTCGATTTCCCCCCGATCCAGACTTCCTGGCTGTCGACAAACGTTCCCCAAACACTTTAATTACATTTGTAACGGTTGATTTGGCAACTTTTAGCGATTTTGCCAACTTTGCATGCGAGTAGCTCGGATTTTCGCGATGCGCGAGCAAAATTTTGATACGCTGCTCTTCTTGCTTGGACGGCATTTTGACAACTGAAGAGTGAATTCCAAAATCAAAATAGGAGCAACATTCTACACACACACACCTTCAAAATGAGGGGTGTTCAGGTTTTTTAAATGCAAAATTGAAAGAAATACGTCAAGTTGATATTGACCAAATTTTGACCGTATCACCCTTTACAAGGGAGTAGTACCAACAATCAATACGAAACTAACGATTTTAAATTGGCTCACCACTTTAGTAGCCTATTGGTCCCAAGCAAACGATTAACGTACCCTATTCTAGTCGAAATTCTAGTACTACGCAATGTTTGTTTTGATTCGCTATAGTTTGCTAAAGTTTGACAGATAAAATGAGGGGTTATTGGTTTTTCCTATGTTTCGAGGGGTGATTTGACAAGCTTGGGACCGAAGATAGTACCAGAGGTGAGCCAAAAAGTTGAGCACGTTTCTTCGGGACAGCGCTGCCATTTATACAGATTTATCTGTATTATATAGATTTTTTAATCTTAATACAGACCCGATACAGAATACAGATTTATCACAGATTTTTAAATTACAATACAGATTTATACAGATTTTTATAAAATGCTTGGGAAAAAATAATCTATATCAAAATAAGTTATCAAGCAGTTCTCACTAATGTAAGTGTCAGCCACCTTAGTCAGGAGCACTTTCGAGACTCCCTGACTCCAATGGCCTCAGGGTCGGCACGCTTACCGATTGCAATTACGCGGGCAGGGAATGATCGCACGTGACACACAGAAAAAACTCCACAAGCACTTCACTACTCAAGAATAGACATTTATTGCACTTTCCTGAACTTTTATTCTCCCTCTTTACTACCTTATTCTCCCACTTTCTTACAATCTATCTGACCAGGTTTCTTCGTCGGGGCCCCTCGCAACACCTCCACTATGTGTCTTCGATTGTCGACCGCTTGTCCTCGGTCGACGTCCGCTTCCTCTCCACTTTCTCGTCGTGTATCTCGTTCGCGCGCTTGCTGTACGGGGTGGCGATGACGAGCACCAGGTTACTCTTCCTGGGCCTGTGAGTTGGTGACGAACTCGGCCGGCAGGCAATGACGGTGTAACCTTCCGGTACGTCTACCGGAACTTCACTGCGTACAGGTAATTTGTACTAAATACAGCGGGGTCCTGCTGTCCTTGACTCTCTCCTCACACTTTTTCACTGTTTCCACTCTTACTTGCGTCAATTTAGCTGGCTTGCTTTCTTGATAAACCGTTTTCGCTGGTGGTCTTACGATCAGTCATTATTAATTTCAGAGTTGAGTGAGTCATTGGGTCACTGCTCCAGGCTGTCGGCCAGTGACCCGGGCCATTCGTCGTTCATCGCCAGTTTGTCGTGCCCGTTATCGTCCATTCAAAATGGCCATCTCTATCGCCACCCCCCATGGCCTCCCAACAGGCAGTTGTTTGTCCATCTGGTGGCGGGTTTTTGTAATTCTCGGTGGGGTGGATTGTTGCGTTCTACAGTAAGCTGTCCTACCTCTGCCTACTAGGGAGTTTGACAACGGAGAAAACTGCACAACACTCACGAACATTACCTGCCATTTTTTACACTATTACGGAACTAAACAAAAAACAACGATAATCTAAAAAATACTCGAAACAAAGACACTAGCACTTACACTAATATCAATACATGTTATAATTTTGATATTCTTCGCATATCTTTTAGCTCTCATTTTTGTTCTGTTAGCCATCAACTCCATCAAAATGAAATCAATTTGAGTTATCAGGAATAATGAAAACAACATAATTCTTGTTTTCATTTTGTTCTCACCCTCTGCTCGGGAACCTATCAAATTTCCATCGACAATTAATCATGTTATGGTGTTTTTGACAGCATTCTCAACCAGAGGACCAACCGCTTTCGGATGCATATGGAGCTGGTAGTAAACGATTTGAGATTGTATGGGGATTTACAGTATTAATTGAATATTTCCAATATAAGCATGTATGTTAAATACAAGAAAAGTGCCCGAGCACATTAAAATGGTACAAATACAAGTACTCGTAAACATTTTACTTGCATTGAAAATGTATTTCGTAAGAAATTGCGAATTTTCTGATATTCTCCATACTGCAAAAATGATTTTACCAGCACTGACGGGGCGACATCTCTCGACTTTTCGGTGTAACTACCACACAAATGATGTAATTAATTGTATTCATCTATATTAAAAATATCAAATAGTAATGAACTCGTGCACTTTTTTGCATTTAAAACTGCTTATCAGGAAGATAATGAATAGAAACTAAAATCTCCATACATTTTCAAACGGCTTCATATCACTCTTATAAATAAGTACGGACGATATCACAAATGGCGCAATTATATCCCGTATGGTTAGTACGATAGCCTGAATAGGTGGTTCAGCACTTTTTATGGTTATTTTGTATGCACTGTATTTGTAAAACAACAAAACATGATTAATTAAGAAAAAAATCGTCAATACAGAAAATACAGATTTTTTAATAGAGTGGATACAGATTTTTTATAAAACCACCTGGCAGCTCTGCTTCGGGACCTACTTGTCTTAGAGTTACCTCTATGGTAGTACAGTGATCGTAAGCAGTACGGGTCGCGAAACTCTTTCGAAATGCGGAAGATGAATCCCAGATTTCTGTTAGCCCTAGCGATGATGTTGGAGTAATGATCTCCACTCCAATATCAATCCGAGAGGGCCCAGAGCGTGGGCCCACGTCTATGCTCGCTATGGCCAGAGTTGATAATAGAAGAGTACGCTTGGCACGCAACCTTTGTTTTTGTTTACACCTCGGATGACTTCACCTTAAAGCCCTACAGTAAAAGTATGGACGTCTGTCAAAAGTTGTTCCAATCGAATCGTCAAAATGCACCGCTTTGCTCGATTGGAACAGCTTTTTTTTCCGTTTTGTGGTGACAGTCGTTCATACTTTAACTAGAGGGCTTCCCTAATAAAAATTACCATAAAAGAGAGCTTCGACGTGTTTGGAGTATAATCCAAATCATTTGTGGGATAGTTTACCCATCCGGGATACAGTTCGTTTATGGTATTTGTTTATTAGGGTTTACTTCACCTGGGTTGTGAAAGTTTCCTCTATTTCCGATAACAATACTTCCCACGCAACCGATTCAGTTTGTCTACTATGCTCGATAGGTAAACGGTTAAGACAGTTAGATTTTGGTTTCAGTCTGCGTAGCTCTTCTATTATCAACTATAGCTACAAGTTATTAGTAGAGATAGGGGTGCCATATCCTTACCACATACCCACTTAATCTTTTTTGCCGGGATGGGCACTACCGAGCAGCTCGGCATTTTATTTTGCTGGATCACATTGAAAAACTTACCGAGAATCAGCTAACAAACGCTAACAAACATGAATTTTGCCATTTATTTTATGAACTCCAAACTATAGGAACTAAGCATACAGTAACAACTCTTTTTTTTTTAATGAATTATTTATTACAATTCTGCATTAGTAAAATTGTGTGTCAAAGTACAATCATGCTCTATGCCCAGGAAAGTCGAGAAATTTCCCAACCTCGGAAAATTCCTAGACCGGATCGGGAATCGAACCCAGCCACCTCCAGCATGGTCTTGCTTTGTAACTGCGCCTTTACCGACTGAGGTAAGGGAGGGACTAAAAAGCAGGCCTGAACATACTCATTACAGCTAAAATACTACTTTTCGAAATTATGAAACTATATGATATTATAATAATAATTTTTTTATGTAAGTTGCAAGAAGAAGAGGGAAAGATTGTGTATGACAAATAATACCTGTCAATTTCGCTTCCAGAGTGTCACAATTGGCGATTAGCTGTAACGAATAGTAATTACTAATGACGATTACTCATTACAGCTAAAATAGCTAATTGTGACCCACTGAAAGCAAAATTTACTGGTTTTATGTGTCATACACAATCTTTACCTCCTCTTCTTGCATCTTACATATAAAAATTATTATTATAATATATTATAGTTAATTTCGAAAAGTAGTATTTTAGCTGTAATGAGTATGTTCAGGCCTTACGAATAAGTACAATCATTGAATTGGTAGGGGAAATGGCTCTAATGTTGGCCTATGGATCTAAGATTGGGCCCATCGCTAAAAATCTGCTATTTATCAATTTTCTCTAGATGAACACGTCATTGGGACCAAGATTGGGACGGTACTAATGGATATTTTTGGTCGCTATTGAAAATTTAGTCGATTGCTGAATTTATGTATGGGCCCAAATTAGGAGCATTTAGGCCGACATTACATCCATAAGAGCCACAATCTGACACAAATATGACCATAACATTTCCTTATGTATAGACAAAAACCTTTCTGGGGCCGGGATCAATTGTGTCCAGTTTCCCCCACCTAATAGCTCAACATCCCTTGCAGGTGAACGAGGCGTTCGAAGTACTGAAGCGCCGGACCAGCACGAATCCGAACCAGCGGTTACCGAAGGTGGAAATCCTGCGCAATGCCATCGAGTACATCGACAGTCTGCAAGCACTGCTAGAGGTAACCCCAACCCTAACGAGGCAACTTTGAATATAGCCAAATTTGATTCCGAAATTTTCCATCTGCTCTTTTTGCAGGAAACACCACCGATCCGACAGATTCCCGACATTCTCACCGACAGCAGCTCGGCATCCAGTTTCTCGTCACCTCAGGACTACATGGTGAGTGAAATGCACGTTATCCCTATTAGCAGCGCCGGTCGCATCAGCTCACACCTTGACGACCCGTTAGGGCTTTTTGATCGTACCTTGTTTTCGAATCTCAGCATGCCGTGTGGTGCGGCCGTCATCTGGGCGTGCCGGTGGGTGGCATTTAGGGGGATATGTTGTCATCGTGCCGCGTGCGTGAGCGGGAATATATTGTCGTTTAATTATTTGTTGATAAACATGCTCCGCATACTTTGCCAATGGTCACGGATTCGGTTGCGGAACCTGGGCTGGTTTTCACACGGGTTCCAGTGCTAGCAGTAATCTCCATCGTCGCCTGCTTTTTCTTCTGGTCTTCCAAGTTTACCAAATTGTCATTTGCTTTGCATTTGCGGGAGGAGAGAACGATTCGCACATAAGAAGATTAATGTTGTTGACGAATGGAGTGCTCCGGGTGATCATTAATCGTTAGCAGACGAGGAGGATCGGGTGGGACAGGACGCGAAAATTAAGCATTTATACTTTGTTGAAAAATTCCGCTCCAGCTTGGGTGTTTGGGTTGCTATTTTTTTTTGTTTGTCATGCAACACAAGGTGACGATAAGATTAATAACTGCCTGCAAGATTCAGGGACTTTTCCGGACTTGGAGCGCGAGCGCAGATTTTCCCCAAACCCGGTCGGAAAAGGTGTGGAAAGCAGAAATCTCAATTAGTGAAAGCGCAAACGCCCGCTGACAGCCAGCAGCGCAGTTCGTGACATCGTGTCACCGTGGCATCAGCATCGGTCTGTGTCACCGGTTTTGAAAACATAATTAGTTTCTAAGTGCAGTGATCTGGTGTCATCACGATTTCTACCGACTGCCTTCTTGACTGCGCGCGTAGTTGCTGTGGGAGATTTTCCAAAATCTTTTGCATTAGATCACGATCTCCATCGAGCGATGTGAACGCAGGGCATGCTGCGATGCGGCGATGATGCGGCTGGCTGGAAGTCTGTCTGTAGCATGGGGAGTCACTCGACGGCATTTGAGGGCAGTTGAAAAATTTCGAACCATTTATTTTGCCGCTAGTCATAATATGTCACGTTGTCATGCTGACTGACTACTACTGTTACGTGCGGTGCGAGGTAGGGAGCTTGCCTCCGGGACAAATGTCATGGTGCGGGTGTACGGTGAGGGGGACGGACAGTTACAATTGGATAGTTGAGAATATTATTATGTGAGATCGGTTGTGTTGTTTGGGTTCGCGGACGGACTTGGGCAACGTGGTTCGGAGTGTGGACTATGGAGTCTCGTGAGTAGAAATTGAGAAATTAGTTTTGGTTCGAGTTCAATGACGCTGTTGACCTACGGACGGACGCAGAGGAGGAGACATTTGTTTTTACATGATTCTGGGTGGTTTGGCACGTTTGGTTGCTGCGAAAGCAGAATTATTAATTAAGTTATGCTTCTTGACGAACAGGCAGTATTCGTATTCTGGTTGACACAATTTGATCTTCGGAGACGAACCAGCGTTCGGCTGAAAGTCTCCTTAATAAAGATAACTAACTAATCTGATCTTATGCCTGAGTAAGAAGGTTTATCAAATCTACAATTTTAGGTCCTTAGAGATCTTCTTTGTTTTTATTATAGACAGAAACGGTTTTCATTTGAAGTTTCAACAACTGTGCGTCTCCATGTTAACGATTTGAAATGAAAGGATTGGCGAACGGTTGTTGACATTTAAAATAAAGATACCCTTTGTATAATTTTGAGCAAATGGCTCCTGCTTTTCTTCTTAACTCGTCTTAAAATTTTACAATACGCGAGTGTTTGTGTTATAAAAGTTGGCACGAGTACTGAAAGGTAAATAGTTCTTCAAAGTGACTGTATTCTGGAAACATAGTTCACTACAAGGATCTTTTTATCATGGTCCAGAATGTTATATTTTTAGAATATAGAATTCGATTTTCCATCAACATTCACGAGCTTTATCCGGTGATTTAGAATTCTCGGCTTTTTCCCGGTTTTCCGGACTTCCCGGTTCACTGGTTACCCTGCATTTAGGAATTAGCTGTCTACGACAAAATTATTCAGCAATTTCCCAGATAGTCAGGACCTCGAGATATAGCACACTTTGAAATTCCATTTTTACATTAGCGCCACGTACTAGCAGAGTCGGTAAATGCTGGGTAATGCGCAATACAGATCCCATTGAGATCACTAGCCTCTTCCCAGCAACTCCTATCCCTACCTCTCCGTGGTACCGGCCGGGAACTGTGAGCAACCTTAGGGAAGATCGGGTAACCAACCCCGGTGGGAACTTTGGTTATAGGCTGACAGGGAAGGGGGTGTTTGCTTCGTCAAGCCTGAGCGTCTGTTCTCCAGGAGGAGCGGCTCACAACAGCGTCTGTTCCCCATGTTAGGGGCGGCTGATCTACGTCCGAGTGCCAGTGAAGGACTCTACGCACAACTGTGCACCCTGGTCCTCCGGGAAGTCAGGAGGTTGGTGTGGCCGTAAAAAAGCATTGCAACGGAAAACAGAGGAATACGAACCAAGACCAACGGCAACGACCTCAGCGACGAAACAGGACTTGCGATTGGAAACTCGGCACGTGGAACTGTCGATCTCTCAATTTCATCGGGAGCACCCGAATACTCGCCAATCTACTGAAGGACCGCGGATTCGGCATCGTAGCGCTGCAGGAGGTGTGTTGGACAGGATCCATGGTGCGAACGTTTAGAGGTAATCATACCATCTACCAGAGTTGCGGCAACACACGCGAGCTGGGCACAGCTTTCATCGTGATGGGCGAAATGCACAAGCGCGTGATCGGTAGCGTAATCAACGTGCACAGCCCTCACTCCGGAAGCACTGATGATGACAAGGACGCATTTTACGCGCAGCTCGACCGCAAGTACGATCGCAGCCCAAGCCACGACGTCAAGATCATCATAGGAGACCTAAATGCTCAGGTAGGCCAGGAGGAGGATTTCAGACCGACGATTGGAAAGTTCAGTGCCCACCAGCTGACGAACGGGAGCGGCCTACGACTCATCGATTTCGCCGCCTCCAAGAACATGGCCATTCGTAACACCTTTTTCAAACACAGCCTCCCTTATCGTTAGCCATTCAGCAGCTCAAAAACAACAAAGCAGCTGGTAAGGATGGTATCGGAACCGAACTCATCAAGATGGGCTCAGAAAAGTTGGGGCCACCTGTCTGCACCGGATGATAGTCAGGATCTGGGAAACAGAACAACTACCGGAGGAGTGAAAGGAGGGAGTAATCCGGCCCATTCACAAGAAATGCGACCATTTGGAATGTGAGAACTTCAGAGCGATCACCATTTTGAATGCCGCCTACAAAGTGCTATCCCAGATCATCTTCCGTCGTCTATCACCTAAAATGACCGAGTTCGTGGGAAGTTATCAAGCCGGCTTCATGGACGGCCGATCGACAACGGACCAGATCTTCACCGTACGGCAAATCCTCCAGAAATGCCGTGAATACCAGGTCCCAACGCATCATTTGTTCATGGACTTTAAGGCGGCATACGACAGTATCGACCGCACAGAGCTATGGAAAATCATGGACGAGAACGGCTTTCCTGGGAAGCTGATCAGACTGATCAAAGCAACGATGGACGGTGTGCAAAACTGCGTTAGGGTTTCAAGTGAACTATCCAGTTCATTCGAATCTTCAACATCGCTCTAGAAGGTGTAATGCGACGAGCCGGGCTCAACAGCCGGGGTACGATTTTCACGAAATCCGGTCAATTTGTGTGTTTTGCGGACGACATGGACATTATCACAAGAACATTTGGAACGGTGGCAGAACTATACACCCGCCTGAAACACGAAGCAGCAAAGGTTAAACTGGTGGTGAGTGCGTCAAAAACAAAGTACATGCTAGTAGGCGGAACCGAACATGACAGGATTCGTCTAGGAAGTAATGTCACGATAGACGGGGATACTTTCGAGGTAGTGGAGGAATTCGTTTACCTTGGATCCTTACTGACGGCTGACAACAATGTGAGTCGTGAAATACGAAGGCGCATCATCAGTGGAAGTCGTGCCTACTACGGGCTCCAGAAGAGACTACGGTCAAAAAAGATTCACCCCCGCACCAAATGTACCCCCGCACCAAATGTACCCCCGCACCAAATGTACCCCCGCACCAAATGTCCTCTATGGACACGAGACATGGACTATGCTCGAGGAGGACCTGCAAGCACTCGGAGTTTTCGAGCGACGTGTGCTAAGGACGATCTTCGGCGGTGTGCAGGTGAACGGTGAGTGGCGGCGAAGAATGAACCACGAGCTCGCTGCACTCTACGGCGAACCCAGCATCCAGAAGGTGGCCAAAGGCGGAAGGATGCGGTGGGCAGGGCATGTTGCAAGAATGCCGGACAACAACCCTGCAAAGTTGGTGTTCGCTACTGATCCGGTTGGCACAAGAAGGCGTGGAGCGCAGAGAGCACGATGGGCGGACCAGGTAGAGCGAGATCTAGCGAGCATTGGGCATGACCGAGGATGCAGAGCGGCAGCCGCAAACCGAGTACTTTGGCGTACTATTGTTAATTATGTCTTATCTTAAATGTGATGTTGTACAAGTAAATGTATGTAATGTACCAGCAGAATACTGAACTAGAGAGGGTCTAGTATAAGAGAGAAGCGGATTTAAAACTAACTGCCATGGCAACCTAAGCCTAGATTGTTTCTAGCAACACTATCAATGCAATCAAGATAGGCGCTGCTCAATTGGCTCTGGCTTTGACAGTTCGTTTGGCTCTAAACAAGCCAGTCAGCTCCTCTCTTATACTAGACCCTCTCTATACTGAACTATTCTACTCACCATTCGAAAGGCTTTAGCTATCTGAATCTTTTCCGAAGACTGCCACGTCTCAGAAAGACAGTATCACGAGATATAATACACTTTGAAATTTCATATGCACACTAGCGCCAAATGGTGGCAGAATTCCGAACTTATCTGCTCACTGTTTTAAACAATTTGGGTATCTGCACAACTCTGCCGAAA